AGAGAAGGTGCGCAGTATGCGCTGGACGCGCTGTTCAACAACCTCAAGCCGGAATCTCTCGTAGTGGCTCTGCTACCGATTCTCGTCTCATACCTGGGCAAGAGGTCGGGCAAATGGCAGGGCACGGTTGGCGCATTAGCGCTGCTGGAGAAGATGGCCGAGAAGGCGAAGATTGGGATGGGAAGTCGGGAAGAAGAGCAGATCAAGGACGTGCTGCGCGAGGCCATGGGCAAGAAATTAGAGCGCCTGATACCGGTCGTTGAGGCTGGTATGCACGATCTCAAATCCGAGGTTTCCAAGCAAGCCGTCAAGACCATGACAGCTTTGACCACGCTACTACAGAACGACGATGTTGCGCCGCGGATACCGTTGCTCATCAAGTCGATGGAGAACCCGTCGACCGAGGCTCTACAGAAGGCTATCCATGCCCTTTCGCAGACGACGTTCGTCGCTATCGTCACGTCACCCGTCCTCGCACTCTTGACACCACTTCTCGAACGCTCGTTGAACACACCCACCACTTCTCAAGAGGTTCTGCGACAAACGGTGGTCGTTGTTGAGAACCTGACCAAGCTCGTCCACGACCCCATTGAAGCACGGACTTTCTTGCCCAGGCTCAAACCTGGTGTCAAAACAGTTAAGGACCGAGCATCCCTCCCAGAAGTCCGTGAGCTTGCTCAGAGGGCTTTGGACGTAATTAACAAGGCGATTGGTGAACAAGATGGCGCCACCAATGGAGAACTCTCTCCCGTACAACCAAACGATGTGCTGGCTAGACTTGACAAAGAAGTCAACGCCCATGGAGGCCTATTGAACTATCCTGGCGATTCGGAGATATGGACTTTGACGAAGAACTACGTCTCTCAGATGGTCGCTGAAGACGTCAACCAGCGGCAGCTGAGCAGAGTCCCACTCTGCATTACGCCTTACCTGCAGCCGTTGATGCACCTCAATCAGGCGGAGACGGTTGCGAAGGCTGTCAAGGATTTCTACGTTGAAGAGGACAACCGCAAGTTTGGTGCACCTATCAAAGAGGACGACGGCGAAGTTGAGATCGTCAATGCCAACTTCTCCCTTGGCTACGGCGGCATGCTCTTGCTCTCCCACACCAATCTCCGACTGCTGAAGGGCCACCGATATGGTCTTTGCGGTCGTAATGGTGCGGGTAAGTCAACACTCATGCGAAGCATAGCGAACGGGAAGCTCGAAGGCTTTCCGCCGCCGGAAGAGGTCAAAACTTGCTTTGTAGAGCACAACCAGGGCGAAGATGCCGATCTCAGCATTCTTGAGTTTATCTCCAAGGATCCCGAGCTCAAGTCGGAAGGCCTCGAGCGGATATCCGCTGTTCTTGAGGAAGTTGGCTTCACGTCAGGACCGGAAGGTCGTCAGTCACAGAAGGTTGGCTCGCTGTCTGGTGGATGGAAGATGAAACTCGCTCTTGCTCGAGCGATGTTGATGCGCGCAGACGTACTGCTCCTTGACGAACCGACCAATCATCTGGATGTTGCAAATGTCAAGTGGCTGCAAGATTACCTGAAGAAGCATACCGAGATCACATCTCTCATTGTGTCCCACGACTCCGGTTTCCTCGACGAAGTGTGCACAGATATTTATCACTACGAGGGCAAAAAGCTGGTTTGCTACCGAGGTAACCTCGCCGACTTTGTGAAGGTCAAGCCGGAAGCGAAGTCCTACTACACCCTCTCCGCTGCGAACGCGCAGTTTAAATTTCCACCCCCGGAATCCTCACCGGTGTCAAGTCGATGACACGCTCCATTCTCCGTATGTCCAACTGTACCTACACTTACCCTGGCGCCCCGAAGCCTTCACTGTACGACGTGTCGTGCCAGTTATCTCTCTCCTCTCGTGTGGCCATCATCGGTGCCAATGGTGCTGGCAAGTCCACGCTGATCAAGCTTTTGACCGGCGAAACGATACCTCAAGAAGGCCGAGTGGAGAAGCACCTAATCTACGTATTGGGTATATCAAACAGCATGCACTTGAGCACGTAGAGATGCATATGGAGAAGACGCCGAACCAGTACCTGCAATGGCGGTATGCAAACGGCGACGACCGAGAAGTGCTTATGAAACAGTCGCGTATTCTCACAGAAGAGGAGAAGGCACAGATGGAAACGCCCGTGGACATTGGGGATGGCAAAGGCCCGAAGAGAATTGAGGCGCTCATAGGAAGGCAGAAGTACAAGAAGTCTTTCCAATACGAGGTGTAAGTAGTCCTCTCCATCTCTGTCTATTAGACTGAGGGCGGCTGCTAAGTTTTACAGGAAATGGGTCGGTCTCCTCCCCAAGCACAACACCATGATCTCACGCGAGACTCTTGTCGACCTCGGTTTCAGCAAGCTCATCCAAGAGTTCGACGATCATGAATCTGCGCGTGAGGGCCTCGGTTACCGCCAACTAGAACCCAAGGTCATCTCCAAGCATTTTGAAGACGTTGGCCTGGATCCAGAGATCGCGAACCACAATGAGATCTCAGGGCTGTCTGGTGGACAGAAGGTCAAAGTCGTGATCGCTGCGGCGATGTGGCCCAATCCGCACTTGCTTGTGCTCGACGAGCCTACCAACTTCTTAGATCGAGACAGTCTCGGTGGTCTGGCCGTCGCCATCCGTGAGTACAAGGGCGGCGTCGTCATGATCAGCCACAACGAAGAATTCGTCGGCGCGCTCTGCCCCGAACAATGGCACGTAGCTGACGGGCGGCTGACCCAAAGGCTTCCTCGCCGTCAACATGGACCGCTTCGAAGACAGCCGCCCAGGCAGCTCCGTGGGCTCCAGCGCAGTCAGCTCGGCAACAGCCTCAGCTGCACCTAGCGCGAATGTCTCAGAGGCGGAGGATGGTGGAGACATGAAGTTCCGGGCGAAGAAGAAGAAGAAGATGACCAAGAAGCAACTTAAGGAGAGGGAGGTTAGGAGGAGGTTGAGACATATTGAGTGGCTCAATAGCCCGAAGGGGACGCCGCATCCACCGGATACGGATGATGAGGAGTAATGGCTTTGGAGCGTTGGAGAGTAGATATGCTGGGGGTGGGGGGTTTGCATTGGGTTGGCGCGCGTTGTAGATGTGGGTTTGTGGATTGGGGAAAGGATCATGATACCGGGATGTCACGTGCGGCATGTACGGTGTTGAAGGCGTTTTAGATACGGTACCTTATCATACGCATTGGTTTCTCGCTGTGTGCGGTTTTTGACGCAGCTACTGATGACATATTATCCGATGGACTGGAGATGCGGTCACTAAGATGAGCAATTGAGTAGCAAAGGAGGAGGAAACTATTGTCGGCCACTAGAAACTCTATGAGTATTCACAACGTGTGGAACTCTGCAGTATCGAAACATCCAGCATAAAATTCGCAGTTAAGATCAAGCTGACTTTAGGAACAAGTCGATGCCTTTCAGTGCTTCATGATTTGGATTTTTAAACCTTACTGTGTGATTAAAGTTATTAACCGTAAAACCCAGATCTTGTAAGTTGTATGAGCTTGCTGTCCAGCTTCGGGAGGGTTACCAGTGATGGAAATTGTAAGGAAGACGCTCTGCGCCCGTCGCTCTTAATCTCAGGTCCGCCGCTATGCTCGTCCTGGATGGTTACGTTGTCGGGGAGTGACGCCCATTGCGCGAGCTTCTCCCGATCGCTCTCATCGGCTTCCTCTAGTGTGCACTCATCCAAATCCTAATCTGACCAGTGAAGCGTTTCATCTTCCGCGCGGTAGTGCTCTGCAGTGCGTACGGAAGCGCCTGCTTCATATCCAGGGGCGATTGTGAACGATCCGGGTCGTACTGCGCAAAGATAAACCATGTGCCAAGCAGCGTAGTGCTGCTTCCACTTTTCTGCCCCACTCTCCATCGTCATGATCTTCTGGAAGGACAGCACGAGTTCAGCATCGGTCAAGGTTTTTTCGGACGGAATATAGTTTCGAGCCCTATATCGTGTAGCGATCAGCTGAGTGTACGGACTTGATCTCCCCAATTAAGATACAAACCTTCGGCTACGCCCAGACAGTGGATATGGGTATTGATCTTGTGTCCCACACGCCATGCATCTGCGCGAAATCTGGGATGAACCCAGGACACTAAGACCCCCGGCAAATTATGCCTTAAAAGTCTTACGCGCTAACTAATTGTGCCAGCCGGGCAACTGGAAGGTTAGGTAGATTCAACTTTCTCACTGATGCGCCCCTTCGCCATCGTGACACAGCCAGAGAGAAAAGTCTTCATCCGCTCGACAATGGTCGCGCTATTCCACATTTCCGCTATGGTCTTCGACCCGGTGGTTAACTCAATGTAGTATTCAAACTCGCGTCACGTCTTCTCGCGTCTGCGGCGCGCGGCTGGACCATCTCTATCGAAGAAAGTTGAGGCATCGGCTTATTTGGCATGTCTTGCCTGTTCTTCGCCATCCGCAGCAAGCTTCTCAAAGGCTTGCGCAACTGCTCGTACTGATGCTCGTTGCTGGTCGAGATCGGAGAACGTGATAAAAGAAATGAAGGCGTCTTTTGGATATTAAGATGTGACTGTTCCTGAAAGATTTGCGAACGCGTATGATGGTGGAAATTCAGGGGCGGTTATGATACCGTGATTTCACGTGCCGCATACATGGCGTTGATGGCGTTGTAGACGTAGCATTTTGATAATACGCATTGAGTTTTCGCAATGTCTAGGGATGTTACAGCTTGCGGTGACATAAAGTTAATTAACTGGTGAAGTGTCACCGATACAGAGATTCCAGTGGCTAGCGTGGAGGAATTGATTGGCGGTCCTCCAACATCGTAAGCGTATGCGCGTCGTCGATGGGCTTGACCTATTATAAGCACATAAACCGGGACATGCAACTGAAATCGAAAGTGCTTCGGCAACATTGCGATAGCAGTCAGCGTTTGATGATTCGTGCCTTTGAGCCGGGCTAGTACATTGATGTTATAGATTGCAAACGTCAAAATCAACTCCTGAATCTGGTGGCACAAACCTCGCCACCTTCCAGCTGCCCGGCTGGCACAATTGGTTAGCGCGTGAGACTTTTAAGGCATAGATGCCAAGGGATCTCAAGGTTGAGAGTTCGAGCCTCTCGTCGGGCGTTTTTTTGACTTTCTTATGTATCTCTTGCCGCTTTTTTGCACGTCTGGTCAGCTTGGCTGCTCTCTGAGGCTCTTTCACCATTTTTTGCGCCGCAGGGACGCCTAATATCGCACTAAGGCCTCCCATACTAGTGGGAAATCAAGGAGTAAAGCCCTGTTGTGCGCTGCTGGTCTCAATCTAGGATTGCTACTGTAGAAATGAATAGTAGTACTGCCAAGATAATTGCATAACTTGTTGTTTGGTCCAATGCGAGCACATCAGCGTATCTCTCATGTCTCCCCTTCACCATGTGATGTGCTACGTCTTGCTATCCTTTACGCGTCACAAGGCCGGCGAATGTCGATCAATAGCATGACGATATTCTTCATGTCGCAGTGCATTCAGGTACCGCTTATATCTATCATCTAGAAGGGTTTAGGAACGAACCAGGCCACTAAAGGCGCACTCATGCTCTCTGTCTCCTCCAAATCCTTCGTCCCTAAATGCTTAAGGTTCTGACAAGTGACCAGAGAGCGTCTAAAGTCTATTACTCGTTGAGTTGCTTCTCAAATCTTACCCCCTTGCTGGTGCCCACATCGTTTCCGAGCAGTGTACCGTGCCGCCCAACGGACTTGCGTCACGCCTCTCACCTCCAGTTCGAGAGTGTTTCCTCAAGCGTGGCCCTTCGGCGGTTCATAGTAATGGGCCATCTCCAGTCCGGCCCTCTTGAAACCGCACTTAACGTAGAAACCCTCGTTCGCTTCCGAGCAATCCAGTATTGACTGTCGCCATTCTGTATCAGCACTCGTTCTGCTTGTTCATGCTTCAATGCCCACAAACAACGAAGACTGACCTTATAGCACCCGACTTTCTCGGCCACAAAATCCAGCGCCTGGATGATGCGCAGGCCGAGCTTCTTTCCCTGCTGGTCTTTGGCGACTGCTATGTCTTCAATGTGGCCAACGATGCCAAGGTTGTGTATACTGCATTTGCCCAACATCAGCCTGCGCCCTCTTGCCCCAGCCCCCAGTATCTCTCCACCACCGTCCCTTCCCCCACTCTTCCCACTCAACCCCCAAACCCAACCAAGACTAGGCTACTCACAACTTCCTCTCCACAACCAACGTCCCCGTCCCCACAATCCTATCCTCCCCATTCAGGATACACAGCAAAAAGTATTCGTCGTTGCGTGCGCTCATCCAGTCGTAGCGCTCGTTCCATTGCGCCTCGCTAACATCGCCGACGGTCGTGAGCACGCGCAGGACGTCGAGGAAGCCGGAGTGGTAGTCGGAGCGCTGGATCGGGCGGCAGGTGTAGGAGGGTGGGAGCTGGGATTGTACGGTTGGAGAGATGAGGGTGGGGGAGAAGAGGGGGTTGAGTCGGTGGACATTGTCGTGGTGGTGGGAGGGGAGGGAGGTGGTTTTTGGACGGTGTGGAGGAAGGACGCTGGGGGTGTTGGTAGGGGATTAAGGAAGATTGCGTGACGAAGAACTTTCGAGGCAATTGAAGTGATGGGATTGTCGAATATTTGCGATTGTGTTGGTGTTGATGCAAGTGCGGGTACCTGAGCGGGACCGTGTGGGGCTGAGAACAAGGGCAAAGAATGGAACATTGCAGGTGTCACAGCTCTTGGAGTTGCACTGATCCTCGCAGGTTGTCCTGTTGTCTAGTCATGATTGTGAATGGTTTTCACTCAGCACCTTCCACAGATGAGAACTTATCAACATAGAAACTTCCACGTGAATATTGGACCCTAGACTGTCTAAAAATCCAGAACCCTAGGATGCGGCTGAAGCGAAGTTGAGCCACCTGTCAGGGATCTGGTGTCAAAGCTCCCGTCCAAAACATTCGCCGAGGTGCATCAACTTTCTGTGAGCTGCCTATTCACAAACACACCCCACAATGAACTCCCTACGCCCAGGCATGCAGGTTCATGCCGTGCCAGAAACAGAGCGCGCGTTTGATGCGAGTGGCCGACAATTGCCATGGGGCATAGAATATGCAGAGTACGTCCTCCACCGCAAAGCAGCTTACAATGTCAATGCCAGTCCGACAACAGCCCGCTAACGATGACCGCGCCAGCTCCGAGAGGCGGCGTATACCAGAAGAGAAAGGCCCGTTTGGGCGATCCACACTACGGCGCGCCGGATCCAGAAGTAGAACGACGGCGACACCAGCGCGCAAGGAGGATCAGACCAAGATCGACAACATCCGGGTGATGGACGATATCTTCAACTCTTTCAAAGCCTCCCAACAAGCCGCGCAGCCTGCACGTCAACCCTCGGTACCGCCCGGATCGCTTCCCGTTTCCGCTTCCATGCCGAACCTCGAAACCGCAGCCGCTGCTTCCGCGTTACCTTCCACACAATCAACAGCCCCCAAGGAACCTACGGAAGTGATTCTCTACGGTTTTGGGACGGAATACCAATGGGCCGCCATCGAGTTCTACGAGCGTGTTTCCAGGGTACGATCCTCGAAGACTATGACCGGCACCCGCCGCACTCGCGCTACAATCAAACCCTCAGTCTCAGCCGAGCCAGCGCTCAGCGCACTCTCTCAGCGACCGCATTGAGGAAGAAAAACACGTATATGGGAGGCGACCACTGGATCAAGGTTACCTTTGACTCGCCCGAAGCCGCCGATCAGGCCTGCTACTGTTCGCCCCACAACATCCACGGCTACCTAGTCGTTGCGGAGAGGTTCCGCGGCATAGGCCCGGCCCAGGATGCTCCAATGTACGCAGCACCAGGACAGACACAATCGCCCTCGCGCTCGACGAGCACGCTACAAGGCGGCACCCAGACTCTCTCCCCAGAGTCATCTTCAGGCACGGCCTCCTCAGCAACCGCGACGGGAGCCGCTCGCGATCCGCCATCTCCAACACCACGACCGCGCACGACGCGGGAACCTGACTACCCGCGGCTCCCTGGATCAATAGAGTTACAGCCCGTGGTCCAAACACCAGCGCCACAACAGCTTCAGCAGCGCAAGCCAACAAAGGACCTGCCCCCGCTCCGCTCCGCATACAAGGCGCCAAGCGCGCTGTCCTACTACCCGCGGACCAGGCGCTCCTACCCGTAGGTTCGAGGTGGCAGCAGACGTTTGGCGGCTGGCCGCTTGTAGGCTGGTTCCTGGGCGGCGGTGGTGGCTTCGAGATTTTCGGAGGTGAGTTGGCAAGGAAGGAGGATGGGAGTGTAGATTGGGAGAAGACGGGGTGGTATTGGAGGGTCTTGGGGTGGATGGACTCGCTGCTGGGGACAGATTTTCTGGGATTGAAAGAGGATTGAAGGGAAGGAGAGGTAGGGATCACATTGCGGGCGTTGGCTGAAAGACTATAGTGAGCGTTCGTTGTTGACTCTCACTAAAGGACTGGACACCGTATACCATGATTCAGTCATGTGAGAGGAGGGTTTCTCACAGCGTCGCATTTAATCTACCAAATCAAGGATTCCGTGAAGGAGTATCTTATCGTTCGTCTACGTTTCTAGAGCAGCTCGACCGTTTCGCACGTGATCAGGTCACCGCCTCTTATCGTTTCTTGTTCTTCTGAGTTGCTTGATAGCCCTACTCTTATCTCCCTAGCAGTCAAGCAGAAGTTCCACACACCATCTCTCACAATAAGCTAACACAAGCTAACTAACAACCGATCTTCGGCCAACACTCTCAATTCGGTAACACGAGTACCGAGAACAGGATGCCAAGATCAATGCAAGTTGCCCCAGCAGTATCAACAACAGTTCTCCAGACGTCAATGATACCTTCATTCATGACAAACAACAATCCGTCGACCGCTTTACCAACCATAATTGGTAACAACTATCACCGAATACCACATCTTGCGGCCTAAGCATAACAGCACTCAAAAGCCCCTACCAGTCTTGCCGTTCCCGCCAATTTGGAAAGGATTTAGCGAAAGACAGAAACAGTAACAACACCACAGTTCTTGATTACCGATACTCCCTTCAACAACGAATACACCGATGTCCGAGGGATACTTGAATTTCTCAGGATGCTCCACGGGATGACCTCTCCTTCTTCCACTCCACACTTATACGGAAGCCTGGAGGGTCGCGCGATGTCAAGAAGCTCGAAAAGCACAGCAATGCCGTTCGATCTCTTACGCTATTGGCCGTGATCGTCAGACATGTCTGCCACGATATGTTTTGCTCAAAAGATGGTCCGCCGCTCCCTATCTTTACAGTGATCAGCCTACCCTCCCTCATGACGCGGATACAGCTGCCGACGGCTGGACAACGGCTGGATATTCAGATGCGATGCTGTAACTGAGCACCCTGACCCAACTAAGCCGGAAAAAGAGGAGCGGAAACTAAGCAGACAGCTGCACTTAACTCGCGAGTATCTCCATGAGGCCGAAGACAATTAAAATTTACGGCTCGTAAACAGAACCCTTGCTACTGTCGGTGCAGAGTCTCGGGTCCCCAGCGTCAACTCCTTCCTCCCTAGAGAAAGTCTCAACCGTTTGAAAGCCGTTTCGGAACATCCAGTCATCAGTCAATACGTGACGGCTCTACTGTACGAAAGGAGCATTCACGAAGCCTAGATGTAAAGTGTTGAACGGAAAGAGACTTCCTGCAAGGCCACCATGGAGATCAAATCCTGGTTATCCTTCGAGAAAAGCTGTGTTGGCAAAGCAGGACGTCGTATCGCTCAAGGAAGAGGAACGCATTCCGCCATGCCATCTCCCGGAAGGACGAAGACACGGTTCGCTTGCTTCTTGATATCAACTTGAACGTCTTGCGCTCGGTCGAGGCAGTGTGAGGCACGACTCGTACACGGACTGGACTGCTCGACACGAACGAGAATAGCATTACCACCTAAACAGTGGACCTAGAACTCCGGGCTGCGTGGAACTGAGTTGACCGAAACCAATTGGAGATTATCCGGATCCGTTATTCCCACTGACTAACCCATCGATGCACGCATCGTGAAGAAGTAGCTGCTCGAGAGATATTCGGATGGCAATGTGCAGCTACACGAATTAGGCATCGATACCGATCGT